AACATAACGGATGATACAAATGGTGAACGGCGGAAAACAGCCATTAAGCGCTATCTCTAACTGCCGGTATTCAGGAAATAATGAGGAATTTACATTTTATGTGTATATGATCGCTTCGGAAAACAAGAGGTAAGAACTTATGTGTTTTGTCTGGATGATGGAGTAGTCCTGAGGCGGCGCAACCTAACTAAGACGAAAGTGGCAACTTCTTGCACGTCGAAGTTAACCGTTCGCACTGTGTGCCTCCAGGCTACCCGATACATACATACATTTTAGATCGAACAAAAAGACAGCTGTCATTCACTTGTATTTCTTGGTGTTGCGTTACGGATGATAACCGGAGCAAGTCCGATCCAGATACATACAAATAACAGCAGTGCTCTTTTGTGGTCTTCCTGTATTAAAGGCCAGGCTTAGAACTACCGGCGAGAGCGACGCATTCATGCTGCTAGAGGGGTGGCGACGTGGTGCAACGTAACAGGACGGGCAAACGCAAAACGAGGAAGGGCGAGGCAGGAGGCTTTCTGCCTGACATGACAAGAAGACTGCAAATTACGGAAAATGATTATCCAGAACATTAATCTGGTGAAGCGGCAGAGTTGGCGTTATCCAGCCAGTTATTTTAAACTAATACCTAAAACCACCGCTAATGCCTCGTGGCTTCGATTGTTGAGCTCGTGGCCAGGGTCACGGAGAGCGTAAGTAGGGATGCTGAATTGGAGAAATTAGCAATATGGATAAATGGTAACAGGAATATCGAAATCATAATGTGCAGCCAAACTGTTGAGACTCGCTGGTGTTGCTGTTGCGGTAGACTCGGGTACAAAATTCCTTGAATGGGTTAGTTAAACCAACAAGCCGGAACGCAAACTATACAGAGAATTCTTGACCTGTGATGAGCACAGACTGAAAGCCACCGAAATGGTTAAATCTGAAAGAAACGTCCAGCATAATTGAAGAAGCGCATCTTGGAGGCGTCTTGATAAGTTAGAAAGTTTTAATATTTTTAGTAAATTAAACGATTGAGCGAGATGGTACCTTCAAGAGTAGGAAGGAAATAGTTGCAAGTGTGCTATCAAACTTAGTATGGCAGTGTTTTGTCTTTGTTGGCTTGACATCGGTTTTCGAACAGCCCCCACATGAAGTCAAATTTGAGGTATTTGGACTGGGCCATTCAATTATTTGAACAGCAAGATTCTCCAGTTGTCCGAGGAAATCCGCGGATTGGCTGAGCACTCACAATTCGCGGTGGTACAGTTTGGCAGCGTGACAAACAGCCATCTGAAGATCTGTAACGGCCGCCTGGAAGAACGGTTGTCCCAATTGAACGTACTCAAATTTAAAATACAGCAGGTGTCCTGGAATGCTGAGTGCCTGATTCGAGAATATGAGACGCATGCATCTTCCCTCTTTGACCGACAAGAAAACATGTGGGGCGACGGCTACATTCTAATACTCACCTGTCAAATGACATCCTCTTTTCTCCTCGTTTTGAGACACATGGGGCCACGATCCTCAAGCACGCACCACCATTTTTGGAACCAACAATTTTGGGTAAATCTCCGTTGACCTGCTTATAGTGCAAACACCCAAGAGTTTATAGACGGATTACACTCATGCTGGTAATTGCAAGTGTCCCATCAACCAGGTTGGATGAGTCCCCTGAGTCTATTTGTTTTACATATTCACAGATTGGCCTGCTATTAGCAGTGCTAGATATCATTCATGGATGATTTTGAAGGTTATTTCTCTATCCACTTACGGTGGCTGTTTATTGACAACCCATCGATGCAACCGACTCACTTCACACATGCTTCCGAACCACCGCTAATAACTTTCAAGTTCCTGTGTAAACAACTTGACCGGGTGGCAAAAAACCTCATTCGCTTGAACCCAGGAAGACGACAACGGCTATTATGCGGCCGATTGTACAGAAACAAATCCTACTTCGGAGACGACCGACGTCTGTGGCTGACAACTTGCTGTTTGTAGTCAAGGATACTGTATTTCAACCTAAATGGCTGTCTAGGGAAAAATATTTGAGATTTGCGTATTTNTTCCTGTGTAAACAACTTGACCGGGTGGCAAAAAACCTCATTCGCTTGAACCCAGGAAGACGACAACGGCTATTATGCGGCTGATTGTACAGAAACAAATCCTACTTCGGAGACGACCGACGTCTGTGGCTGACAACTTGCTGTTAGTAGTCAAGGATACTGTATTTCAACCTAAATGGCTGTTTAGGGGAAAAAATTTGAGATTTGCGTATTTTGTGACGCGCCCACTAATAGCTACGGGTCTTACGGATTTATGGGTTGGTACAATTTGGAGGCTTTCGCCCAAAATCACAGGATTGGGGTCGTTTTTTCCTTTCGACGCCTTCCGTTTCCCTGAAAGGCACAAACGATAAAAGAGGTGTTTCACTCTTCTTCCAGTTCCCTGCGCGGGGCAGTAATTTCGCTAGCGTGCGAACTCAACCAAAAGATCGTCTGAAAGTGCCTTGAACTGAGTACTACATGCAGCATAAACTACCGTCAGAAGAAGGTAATTGCCCACACCAACTACCTAAAATGAGAAAAATTGTTGGATTATAAAAGTGCGCGATCCGAGCTTAAAATTTTTATAATCTATTCGCCGTGCGTTGGTTAGGTGAACGGTGAAAAACCTGCTGGCCATATACCCTGGTTAGACGAGGTGCAAGTGTGGGTTAGGTCTCAACCAGGGCAACGGTGTCCCAGGAAATTTAGACCAAGCACCATAAGGTGCGTTTTATGACCAACAGATTTAAAGTCGGTAACCGTTATCCCGCAGATAGTTGCACAAGCTCAACGAGAGTATGTAAGGAGCACGTCATATTACGTTGATCTCTGTGTTTGCGAACCTAGCCCGCGCCGCCTACCAGAGTTAAGCCGAAATTTATTCCGCCAAAATATTGTGGAGTTTTTACAGTTGTATATTTTATGGAGATTTAGTCTAATCAGTTCAATGAAACGCTAAACGCGTTTTACATTTTGGGCGAACTTTCAGTGTAACCGAACATTGGCTTACATGTAACTATCAGCTTACGAGATAAACAACAAAAACTTAGCAAATTTTAGCATAATTTTAACTTCCGCGGTTTTTTTCAATAAGAGGTTTGATCAACACAATATGCTATTTTAATCCCACCTTGGTGGTTATCAGAGTAACGTTTGTATGGGACATGTTCCTCAGGCGTAACGCCGAACTATCTCACAAATTTTTGGGGGTTGTTGTTTTACCTGCATTAAAATAACAGGCGACAATTTGATGTTGTTTCTAGAATTGAAGTGTGTATGCATGTCTTTGAATGACACTCCCAGCAAAAAACACTATTCAGGGGACACTTCAGCGGTTTCCGGTACCTGCATTTGAAGTAACGACACCACGATGAGATACCTTTCCTGCTGGAAATCATGACGTAATTTAGCTAAATTACAATATCACTTGCAACGAAAGTGCAGGAAAATATATTCCCGCAATTTACCACTACTACTACTCATTATCATAAGCGTATGCGTGTTTGCTCACCTCAGCAAATTATTGTAACTGCCCGTATCTCTGTGCTGCGCCGACTGAAGCCACATCTGTGCGCGCCAGCCCCATCCAACGGCAAACGACCACCCCCATATTCATAACTCTACAGGTTGTCAAAAACGACAATTTGATGTTGTTTCTAGAATTGAAGTGTGTATGCATGTCTTTGAATGACACTCTCAGCAAAAAACACTATTCAGGGGACACTTCAGCGGTTTCCGGTACCTGCATTTGAAGTAACGACACCACGATGAGATACCTTTCCTGCTGGAAATCATGACGTAATTTAGCTAAATTACAATATCACTTGCAACGAAAGTGCAGGAAAATATATTCCCGCAATTTACCACTACTACTACTCATTATCATAAGCGTATGCGTGTTTGCTCACCTCAGCAAATTATTGTAACTGCCCGTATCTCTGTGCTGCGCCGACTGAAGCCACATCTGTGCGCGCCAGCCCCATCCAACGGCAAACGACCACCCCCATATTCATAACTCTACAGGTTGTCGCTAGTCTTGTCCACTTATAGTAAACTCTAGGACCTCGTTATCAGCGATGTTTCTAGCGCCTGTTGAAAACAGTAACAATGTGGTCCGATTTTTGTAGATCAACAGAGTTTTTCGGAGGCTGTTTGAAAACCGGGGTTCCGGACACCCCCTACCGTCAGCTCATTACATAATCGATCTCAATATTGAATTAGAGTGCAAACATTGAATATTTTTGATGGGAACCACCCTGTGTATGAAAGCTTTTCAGGAGCTACCAATTCACTGTCATAGGTCCAAAGGTCTGAAAAAAACGAAGAACGTATTATTTTTGCAAACTTTCGAAGCATTGTTTGATGTGCTTGCGAGAGAGCATGATATGCATGAAAGAGCACCGTTGCTGTTTGTCTGCAGCTAGATTGGACTTATTCCGGTTGCAGTTTGTCTCGCAACACCAAAAAATACAAGCAAATGACAGCCGTCTTCCCGTTTGTTATAAAATATATGCATGGGATAGCTGAGAGTACGTCTGAGGCTCACGACCAACGTCGGCATACGAGAAGTTATCACCTTCCTCTTAGTTGGGCCACACCACCTCAAGTCCACTTCGTCATCCAAATATGGCCCACATTCTTTTCCCTCTTGTCATCCAGAGCGATAATATGCACAAAACGCAAACAACCTATTATTTCCCGACTACAAGCAGTTACAGCTAGCACTTAATGGCTTTTCTGCTATGCAGCATTCGTTTCCCGGAGTTGAAAGCAGTGGCTCTGCGGCTGGGCATCCTTAATGATAAATTTTTATTTTACAGTCAGAATGGGGCATTACTGAGGGATTTGCGGGTAGTGGTGACTGCGCAAAAAGGGGACAATGTCACAAACAGTGGGAGGTACTCGAATAAGTAATAATAAGATGTTTCTTTTGCAACTTGTAGGGAACAATAGGCATGAGGTCCGAGTAATTCAGTGACTCAGCTGGCTGACATGAACGAAAACTGGAAAACCATTGCTGACCTTTTGGGTTGACACGATGGATCTCAGTTAAACCACAATTCGTATCCATCATCTTGGAAGCTGTTGCTTGTCCGCTTTTCACCTGTCTACCGTCACTGCTCACATTAACCCCTTTTTGCACAACGGAGACCCTATTTCATGATTCTTTGGTAAGCTAAAAGCTACAGCTCGTTCCAACTAGTCCAACAGCTAATCTTCCTTCTAGCCACTACGACGACAGAGTTCTAATCTTCCTAAAACTAGGCACCTCCTCTGGCCCAACTAGTACTTGGTTTCTAGATCAGCAAACGTACCCACCTTTCCTTGGTCTATTTAGCTTGCTGTCATCCCCTTTCAGTTGTTCCTCTATTGACACCGTTGTATCATATGCCTCCTGGCTCTCGCCACCCGCTACTGCTTTCATTCTATTTCCTCCTCGTTGTCTCCATTACCAAGCTTCAAACTTCGACTGCAGTTGCCTAAACGCACCGTAGAACTGTTATTCATTCAAACTTGCTTGTTCCAGGTGTACACTCACACGGCCCTTTAACGAAAGGGGAAGTATTCGCGACTCTGCATCCGCCTGACTCTCCGTGTCAATCTCCGTCTCACCTCGANCTCTCTGTGTCAATCTCCGTCTCACCTAGAACTAGATGCCACAGAACTGCGTATCCCTCCTCCGATCGCGGTGCCCTTGACGACCGTTACGGGGCTGTCCATAAACAAAGGTATGTGAGTGTGGCAATGGCATGGCACTGCCATACCCAGTGTGGGGGCACTACCACAACTATTTTCTTCAGAATCTCGACCACAAACTCCTACCCTCTCGAGCCTGTAGTCGCAACTACGCGCAACGTTTTCATCCGAACCCGCCTCTGGGACGAATCCTTTCGTACCCAGTGAAATTTCGCTCAATTTTGGCTACCCTGGTTTTCTGCTACAATTTTGGCTTGCCTCTTCCAGTTTCAAATCCGTATACTGTGTTCGGTTCACCTCATGAATTAGCACTATGTCATTATCCAACCTATCACCTCCACCTGACTTCCCTACAACGATGCAACCATTGAGCCCTCCTAGTTTCAGAGCCCTCCTATTTTCAGCTAAAAACGCATTTTGGAGACAAAACTCGACATGTGCTCCCAAGTTGAATTATTCAATCTTTATCCACACTTTTGCTCGTTGTGACACCGGCCATTTACCCAACTGCCCAAGGTTACTCATGGCCAGCAATAGTATTCGGTTTTAGTTCATGCCAGCCGGCTGTCTTTGGACTAGTCGACCCTCATGCCCATTGCTCCCTAAAAGTTGGGAAAGAAATCGAGTATTATTATTCCATTAGGCATTTCCTACTGACATTGTCCTCTTTTTGCACAATCAGCACTACCCGCAAATCCCCATTCATGCTTCATTCTGACTGAAAACCTACGATCATGCTATACGGTATGTCACCCGCAAATTGGGAATAAACATCACTATTATTTTTACGGAATACAGACTGGTAAGCCGAGAGGAATGAGCCTTGTAAATTTAAAAACACCAAGATTGTGTTTTCTTTCTATGTAGAGCTTTTATTTACCGAACGGAGTGAACATTTGGCCACCGCAACCCCCAACAAGCCGAAATCTCGGTTAGTGCTCCCAGTCCGTGTTTCGCTACTCACCATACGGCGACGAAGCACAGGTGACGCCAACATTCTTGCTACGCCCGCGGTCAAGCTGATCCTCTGCACTCACTACAAGCCATTTTCGAGAATGAGCAGCATCATCGAATTTCCCCAGTTGTCTGGGACAAATTTTTTCTCCGAAATACAGGCAGATAGATCAGAGAATTGCTGGTTGAGGACTTCAACTCAAACTCTGAACAATGCGAGTGAGAGGTCATCCGGACCAAATGTTCGACAGCGCTTGAGCGGATATGTGGAGGCGTAAACTTCAGAGAATGAGGAGTTCCACGTCCATCGTCCAGGGTTCCAAGTCAAATGTGAGCTCCATATGAGTAACAGCATATAATCTATGGCGACCTCCTAATTGCGCGGCAGATGTGCTAAGCCTGCCCAAATGTGCATTCAGATCTCCGGCAAGCGCAACGATACATGAACTTTATTCTCGCAGCAACAGGGCCCTATGTGATTCATAAAATTCGTCTTTGATGGTATCAGAGCCACATTTGCCTGGGGCGTGAGCACACCCGACAAACTGATATTCATCAACGTACCTTAGGTGAGGATCATTAACAATCGTTGCTAGACGAACAACGCACAGTCGGCTATCAGCGGGTATCAGGTTAAGCAAGGATACCCTCGCCCAATGAATTAGGACGATACCATTCCCTCTCAAATCCCGCTGCGGAACCTCTGGATCTCCATGTTTGTATAGCAAGAAACAAGTCGAGAGTAATGGGGTGGTTAGAACAACCATTGTGCTTGCAACTTGAATTCTGGTTTTTGAGATATCAATGTCAGGCGAGTTCAGTGTGAGAGCTGGAAAGGCTTACTGTCCTGCTTGATTCACAGTACAAACAGAAAGGCAGCCAGACAGACCGGGCTTCGAGGCTCGTAGAGTGATTTTGCGATGCCTGAGGACGCCACGCCAGATAGGCGCAGATATTCCATAGATAACCGATGCAGAAAAAACGAAGTCAATGGTCTTCATAGCTTTGCCTATCTACCTATCCGTAGAGTTCTAACCAAAGACAGACCTGGCGTGCGAGACCCTGCGATTGTCGCGGGGACACCCAACAGTATAGCTCACTGGTTTGTTGAAGTACGCAGACTGCTACACAGTGGCGATGTTCAATCTCTTTGTGACAGATATATTGTTCAACTGAGGCATCTTTTCGGCGCCTAGCTGCCATTTCACCTAATGGATGCGCGGAGTCCAAGATACTTATAGTTAGCCTAAGCCTAGAAAAGAGCAGTCGAAATGCAGAGACCGGTTTCAAAATACAAATTTTATGGGTGGTAAATTCGCCCACTAACGATTGGGTTATCCTACTCCCAAAGACGGCTAATACAAAGAAAATTTTATGTCCACGAAATAACAGGACGCTTCCTGGTGGGCAAGCATGTCAAGAAGAGCAGCCTAATTAACTGAGTGAGATGCGCTTTGTTAATTAGGGAGTACTAAATCGTGGGTTCCTGTATGTATGGCGTTGCTCTAGGTGACGGAATGCGAAGATTTCATCAAAGTAAACCCGACCAGGCCTGAAGCATAATAATAAATTTTATTTCTCATACAGCGGATAGCATAATGCCAGGCACGACCATACTGTTACAGCCACAATAAAAGACGATAAGCAGGGCTTGCAGGATTGTGCGGAAAATGAGCAATGTCATAAACATTTGGCATCATCCGGTGTAAACTTGGTTAGGCCCGAATCGGTATCAGCTATGAGACACGGTTAACAGGACTTTGTCTTTTTTTTAGGAAGACCAATCTGCGCAAGACCAAGTCGCTGAGATTTGAACTTGGCGGGCGAAAACGGAACGAAGTAGGGCACGAAGGAGACATCCCGCTTGACACTTGATAAAAAATTTAGTATTGAAGAAAATTAGGTTCAAGGAAAACGGATCTGATTAAGCAGCAGAATTGTCACGATCTGGTCGGTCAATGTGAACTAGAATACAAAACCACCGATGGAGCTTTGTGGACTCGGAGTTGTGGATTTATTGCCAGGGTCAGGAAAAGCATATTTGGAAATGATGAGGAAAGTGAACCAGCAATAAAGATTAATGGTAGTGAGAATCTCAGGGTCACGGTGTACAGTGAAACTGTAGCGACTTACTGGTATCGCTATCGGAGTGGAATCGGGTGCAGATATTTCGTGACGGGGACTGTTGGTGCCAACACATAAGACGGAATGCAATCTGCACAGAAAATGACTGACTATGAGGAATACAGAAGGGAAGTCACCGAGATGTTTGGGTTCAAGCGGGAGGTTAATTAGATTAGAATTAATGCTTGTTCGAGGCGTCCAGGGCCAGTTGAAGAGCCTGTTTGTAGTTGTGGGCAAGGGCGCCAGTGGGCGAGAGTACACAGTCATAAGTAGGAAGTTGATGGTTGTATGTATGCTATCAGGTGCGGTGCAACTGCAAACATGACGAAAGCGACTACAGCCTTGCACATCAGTGTAAGCGTATTGCGGAGGTTGTCTTCAGGCTGTGTTATGTTTTTAAGGAATATTTTGTCAGTCAAACCTTCGTTTTTTTCGCCAGCTGTAGTTTCTGGCCTTGTCAGATAAATAACATAACCGGAACAAATCCAACACTAGCGGCAACAGTGATTCGCACTGCTCATTTGTGGGTTTCCTGAATTAAAGGACAGACTCAACCACAAGTGACTGGCGATGCACCCGTGTTACCGAAGGGGTGACGGGCATACAAACTCACCATGGCGCAGTTTATCAGGTTGACCCCTCCCGCAATACGTAACCGACCACCTTACAAGGTCTTTATCCCTCGTGCATGATATTTGATCTGCAGGGTAGAAGACTGCCAAGAACTCGTAAACGCGGCCTCTGCGTTAATAAAGGAATCCAGCTACCCCATATTCTTTCCAAACGAGGGGAGCGACGGGCTAATAAAACGGCTCAATCAGAGGCGAGATCGGGGGTAGTTAGGCACTGAGTAAGGCGGCAACAGTTCCGTATATGGGGAATTTATCCACGGATCGCAAAAAAGTATGAAGGTGCATGTTGTTTCACAGCTGCTCAAAAAGCTTGTTCCACACACAGGCGTAGTAAACCAGAAAGAAATAGTTGCGCAGGTTATTACTACTGGAGTACATATTAAGTGTTCCTGGAGCTGCGGAATCTATAGCACAGATATGATTGACCTTTTGTGTGGCTCTGCTACAAAGGCATACTTCTGCAGTAGATGGTGTGAGAGAGTTAGATTCAGCTAGAACCGTCTGAGGTACAGTTGTTAAATACCCTAAAATTTGACAGCTTTAGTGACAAGAGGGTTGGACTGTGTGAACAACTTTTTCGTGAACGGGACTTGGACGACTTCATAGGCTAGCCTACAACTTCGAGTATAAAAAGGAAATGGTGTACAGAAGAATTTTATGATCGGTTGCACGCATAGCTTAGAAATGGCGGCCATTGTGTCGCGAAAGTGAGTTGAACGCACTAATGAAAAGCAAAGCCCAAGTACTTGAGCAGCTTCGGACTGGATGTGGTAGGAAACTCCGAAAGTTCAAGAGCATCGCAGACAAAGAGCTTTGATCTGCGCCCAATGAATGACAAGATTTACATTAATTGTGAGTCTCAGCCTGAAGGTAAGCGCCGGAGAAATTTTTTTGCGGAATTTTTTTCGGGATTTTTCGAAATCAATGACAAGATTTACATTAATTGTGAGTGTCAGCCTGAAGGTAAGCGCCGGGGAATTTTTTGCGGAATTTTTTTCGGGATTTTTCGAAAGAGAAA